ATAATATTAAGAGCCTTATAAGTAAAACTGATAATAAAAACTTGAATACATTTTGTTACATTGTCATGATAAAAAATATTCTTAGCACAATGGAGCGGTGTATGTTACGTTCGGGCCATAAGTTACAATCATAATAACGTATATATTAAAAGGATTTTGTGAGATCACAATTAAATATTTAAGGCACGAGCTTCAAGTTTGGCATCGCATATTCTGGCAGGATGCCACCAGCATACAGCCTTCTTGAAAACTTCCACCAAATTTAATTATTCTGAAAGTTATCTGCCAATTTTACTATATATTTTCTTAAGTAATCCAGAAATCATATAAATAAGTATTAATAATTTAAATAAAACACTTTAACGGTTTAAAACGCGATATATTAGTTAAACTTATTTGAAAATGATTTTTAACTTCGGCCCGACGTTTCGGATGCTTTGCAGCAGCCGTGTTCACGGGGGAGTCTCCCCGTGACCATGGCTGTTGCAAAATGCAATAAGTTTAACTAATATATCGCGTTTTAAACCGTTAAAGTGTTTTATTTAAATGAATGTTTCTTACTTGTACTAACATATATTATTTTTTACTAGTCTACTATCTATGTTATTTTCATAATAAGCCTAGATCCGTGTGCCGATCGAAGCAAAGGCCTCCTCCAACTCCTTTCTATCTTGGGCAGCTATTCCACGTAACTCTGGCCACTTCCCTAATGTCATCTTTTCCGAAGTCTTCCTCATTTTCTTTTCCCCTCACTGGGATACCATTCTGTTACTTGCTTACTCCATTTCTCTTTTCTTCTCTGGACTGGGTATGCCCAGTCCATATAATATTGATATATAAATTATTATAATTTGTATAAGACTTCGGCGGTCTTTGCAAAGCAACTTCGGTTTTCGAGATGTTCGGCCGTCGTAATTGAGAATTAGTCTCAACATTATGACGGTATGGCCTTTATTCGAACGTCGAAATCCATGTAACCTAATAAACCTTCTAAATTTTGTTAGAATGTATCTAGAACAAAATCTAGATAATTGCTGAATTATACAAACATAATTAATAAAATGAGTTTCCAATTATTTGTCGCGAACAAAATATCCAAATCCATTTGCTAAATGTTGCATTCGTGGTCACTACTAATTTGCATAGTTTAATTCGGACACCGCAGACCAATGATTAAATTTGTATTTAAAATAGGTTTTTTGATTATATTAAAAGGGAGTGTATTGTTAAGTCTAACAGTACTATAATATATAGTAGAATAATTAAAAGTATTACCAGTTTATAGTCTCCTATTCAGTGTAAGCTTAGCCTTATAACAATCAGACAAAATGACCAGATGTCTGCGTCGTCATCAAGTGCTGTCTGTAGATTACCAGAAAAACAGCCATACCACGACATTACGATAATCATACAGAATATCCTCCGGTGACCACGATCGCCGAACCTTACCAACGGGTCGTAGTTAAAAATAACTAAAGTTACAATACATATATATGTACTACATATTGACTGATTGCTGACTACAAATACGAAATATTTAGTTCCATTTTCAAATATCGTTTTAAAACATGAAACTGAAGCAGTAGAAATATCATAAAGCGCTTAACGCTTAGAATTTCGGTCACGCCACAGCGCCGCTTGGGAACTAAGCCTTGTCTGCTGATACCAGGCTCATTCCAACCGATCGCACTCAATACACGTATGAGAGATATATGCGCCAGGAAGCTATAGCAACTAGAAGACAGTCTTGAATAAAAAAGTGGTACCCGACAATATGACAAGGATAAAATAGAACTATAAATTCAAAATCGATTGAAAAACAAACTCGACACAGACGAAACTTGAACTGGCATCTACAATAATCCGCGCTGTTGCTCTAACATATTGAGCTACCGTGTCATACGGACGGTTGCTCTATCGCTCCGATTAGACTGCTGCTAATCTGATGACGGTTCAAATCTCGCTAGTATCGTAAAATTCATCACTTCAAGTCTTCAAGTACTGATCTTAACTTATTATAACTAACTTATATATTATGAATAAATCCCCAGGTTTTCACAAAGCCTTTCGTCTTGAGCTTATCGTAAAATATTCAAACTTATGAATTTTGATGTTCCAATTCTTATGTAAGCATAAAAACTCAAAATATTCCGAGGAAAAGACTAATAAACTTAACTCTATGCATAAGGTAGGAGAGGGAAATATGAAAATATAGTCTACGTGAAAATGTTCGTAATTTCAAAAGTGCCTCGAGAGAATATGACGGGATAAACAAAAATATAGCTAAGTACCCACACACTTTCATAAAGAAACGAGTTCTAGTTTTATAAAATACTAGTTTTCCAAACATGAGCAAATTGTTATAATTTAAAGTACGAAATTAGATACCGTTTTTTAAAAGGATATATTTAACAGAATAACGACGTAACTATTACCTGAAGAATAAAATGTGTTACTTTTTAACATACGTTTATGGAAGAAGAAGATTGGTTACTTAAAGACCATAATAATTTGATTTAAGAAGTATTAAAAAAGGCAATAAAGTGAAAAAATAATATCATTTAACGCACAAGTATCTTAATATTAAAATTGACATCCATGTCTGTTAATAATTGAAGCGGAAAAGTTACAAAACAGAAAAGAATTCAATTGTAAGGACAAACGAAGATGCGATAAAAATGAAAACATTTCAAATTATGATAAAAGATATAATCTTACTTTATACAGTACGATTTTGACTAATACGTATTTACATAACGAAAACAACTGCGTGTGTTTCGAAAGAACGCCATCTGTTATTCCTTTATTCTTGAATCATATTTTTAAGTATTTACTTATTATATTACATATCCTATTAAAAAAAATCTGTAATAATTTAACAATAATCATTCATCACAAAATTTCCTTATATATTTTGAATATAGCTTGAGTGTGTAACTTTTCCTAAGGCAAACGAGAAATATGCCCTTTTTTAACAAATTAAGTAGTATTATATATTATATACTATAGTTTAAAGATGAAAAATTTGTTTAAACGCACTATCTAATCTCAGGAATTACTGGATCGCATTCTGTGATATTTTTTTTTAGTGTTGGATAGACCATTTAGCGAGTAAGGCATTTTTCTATAAACTTTTTAAAGCATTGCTATGACCAATAGGAGCAAAGATACAGGGGGAAATATGGAATAAACGGGGAACATTATTCATTTTTTAATGTTTCCGTGCTTGTCCTGTGAAAATGGTTGAAGTTATCTAAAATATATCAATGAAAGACATTCTTATTTGAATAATAAAAAAAATCCGTCACAGTATAAGTCTATCTCTTAAGTTGGACTCACGAGTTGGATATAAAATGTACACTCTAGAATAAATTTCGTCGTGTCGGTGTCGTACTTTATCACTTTCAGATTTTTCACAAATTGATCAAAGAAAAGGAGTTTGATAATATTAGGTTTCAATCCAATATTATGAAGATTTTGGATTTGTTTAAATTAAGCTACAGTAAATGTAGTGATTTATTTATTGCCGGACACCAAAAATTGTTTTTTTTTTTCGTTTTATTATGTAAGCTTATATTAAATTTTGGCTTGTACCTACTTTTCAGCAGACAAATGGACACACATAATATTTGCGTAGATAATAGTTTATGGTAGTTACATTAGATACTCATAATCGAAAATTAATATTGCTACATACGAATGAGGGATGTAGAAAATAATACAAGGTAAACTGAATTAATTCAACACTAGAACTTTCTCTCATACCGTTTGTATAACGAGGGTAGCATAAATATTTAGAATTTGTTAAGCATGTTTTTTTATATCGACGCAACATTAATAAGACTTATTACTTACTTAGTAATTTGTTTTGAGGTGTCCATTTAAATTTAACAAATTTAATTAGTACCTAATACTCAAATTTTCTCAGAAGTAGTAAGTAGATCTTTTCGATTATCTAAATAGTTTTGTTTTTATTATACAATATTATTACATTTACATACAATCGTGGTTCTCAACCGCCGTTCCGCGGACCACTGGTGTTCCGGGGGGCTGCCCCGGGTGTCCCGCGGATTTTTTAAATTTTATTAAAAAAAAAAAAAATTTTTTTTTTTTTTACATAAAAAAAAAAAAACCTTTTTTTTTTTTTTTTTTTTAAAAAAAAAAAAAAACCCCAATTTTTTTTTCTTTTTTTTGGGGGGAAAAAAAAAATTTAAATTTTTTTTTTAAAAACCCCCCGGGGGGGGGTTTGGGGGTTGCGCGGGGGACCCCCCCCCCCCCCCCTTTCTCCCCCCCAAAACCAAAAAAAAAAGAGAGGAATGGTTTTTTTTTTTTTTGGGAAACCCCCCCCCTTTTTTTTAAAAGGGGCGCGGGTTTTTTTTTTTTTTTTTTTTTTTTTTTTTTTCTTCCCTTTTTCTCTTTCCCCCCCCCCCCCAAAAAAAAAAAAAAAAAAAAAAATAATTTATCCCTCCCCCCAAACAACCCCCCTTTTTTTTTTTTTTTTTTTTTTTCTCTCCCCCCCCCCTTTTTTTTTTTTTTTTTTTTTTTTTTTTTTTTTTTTTTTTTTTTTTTTTTTTTTTTTTTTTTTTTTTTTTTTTTTTTTTTTTTTTTTTTTTTTTTTTTTTTTTTCTAATTGTATGCATAAAATGTTTTACTCAATTTTTTTTGTAAATGATTGAATTACAATACGTTTCATATTTAGGCTTACATTTATACACAAGCAATATGTATTAAAATTAATTCTCACTTAATTATTGTATTATAAATTACATTAATGCATATTGTATCGCTATCCGCAACCGAATCCGTATACAACCACAGACTATAGAACAGCCGATCAGGATGTGTAGTCAAAACCCGCGAGTATAGACAATGGGAACTTTGACAGCAGTGCTTGTCAACAAAGTAAACGAAGAAAAAAGTAAAAAAGTTTCGACCGTGATAAAAATGACGTGCTCTACAATTATTTAGAGAATTTGTTTGATAATTGTGATTTTGTAAATATGACTGTGTGGCGAAAATTGGAAAATGACGAATGCTACGCTGTTGGTAAGTTTTTGTTCAAATATATTTTAACAATTGGTAATAAGAAGGATATCTTGCTTGATTGTTCTATCCTCTCCCACTGAGTTTTAAATATAAACATTGTATCATATCTTAGCGTTATTAAAGATACTTTGGTCTGTAAAAAATTATCGTATTCTTAATATTGTACAATAATTGTGAAGTGCCGCCCTTTTCGTAAAACTCAACTTTCCTTAATTTGTCAACTCTAAATCCTATGACGTCCTTATGAGAATTTAAAGAAATTATTATCTCTGTTATCACCTTAATATTTACTATTGATATGTACTTATCTACGGTTATTCTTAATTTTTTACTCAATACTTTTTATTGACAAATATCAAACAACTTTGTATGTTTTATATTGTACAAGTCCGTTGTTTATAGTCATTGAAAATTTTCAAAACAAGGCAAGAAGACACTTATTGAAGTTAGCAAACAACTACACCATAAATAAACTTACTACTAGCAAAAACTTTACTGATGTTGGATCTATAATATTTTTTACAAAATGAATTATTATCATGAACAACAAACAAATTGTGTCCAAAATATGTAACAAAACAATTCTCAGTTATGTAAAAGGTTAGGTGCCTGAGGGATTTTCTTATGGTACAAGCAATATATTAATTGCAATTGTTATTACTCATGTTACTTTTTCGCAGGTGACTTGTTACACAAACAGGTACTGGTTGTTAAATCTGTGTACAGTATATGTTTGCATTTTTTACACGATGTTATGCTTTCCTCATTACACTCATAATAGACATAACTAAAATGAGTTTAGACATGATATTTCCCTACATATTAAGATTGAATAAAACACATGGAACAACTCAAACTGGCAGGTAGCTTTTCTTCTTTACTATGCCCCATAGTGTTGTCCTATAACATTGCACTCATTAAGACTGGTTTACCAACCAGGTAGGTAATTACAATCATAGACGCTATATAATAAATAACTTCTTAAATAGATTATACTATATAATTTGGTCCAAAAGATATTACGTAACTAATAATGTTTATTTAGTGTGCCCCTAATCAATGCTTTATTTATGTGATGTTTAAAGGATGTTAGGCCAACAATAATATTTCCTGTTACATTTCCTTGTTGGGATACAATGGTGTAATAAATGTATAGTTCACATTGTTTCATATTATGCAAATGTACTGCCATATCGGGATCATATCGGTAGTCAATTTTTGTGCACTGCTCAAAGAGAGTGTAGAACTTAGTATTGTTACCAAGTGTGTAAGAAACAGTATGACGGTATCATTGCTCTTATGGTAGTAATGTATGGCAAATGACCATGGGTTCAACATGCTTCTAAATTTTCAATTTATAATTTTTCTAAAACATGTTGGAGTTCATTGAAACATGGATGTTAAATATGTGGCAGGAATATATAAAATCCGTCCGGGGTACAAACCACCATCCACAGATGAAAAAGCCGTAAAGCATAATCGCTTTGCAGCCTTTGATTGGTCCAAGGCCAAAATAGGTTGATAGCCCATCTTGTTTGTAGGTTATAAGCAGGAGTATATCACCTGCCATCGAGTGAAGCCCATGTCTGTTTTCCGCTACCAGGCATTATAAGACAACCATGGCGAGTTTACAATATAACCAAATAAAAAGAAAACTGCGGTGAATACGTTTTAGCTCAATTTTTGAATGTTAATTGAAAAAAAAAAAAAACAGTGCTGCCCAAACAGAGTTCAGTGTCTGTTTCACTGTCATCAATTTTATTTTAAGTACTTAGTTCAGACTAGTCTTAACAAATGATTGAGCAGGATAGGAGATATATCATTATACTAGTGTATATAAAAAAGGATGCATATTTTTTTATTATTAAAATTTTGCTTTACTGTAAATTGTATTTATTTTCTTGCATATAGATATGACCCTGAAATTCCCACCTTTCAACTAAGTGTGGGATGGCAGATAACAAATGTCATTAGGTCGCTATACTAGGACATGCCTGTCTTTAGGAACTTTACCTTTACAAGTAAGGTTGATTGCAGTTCATAGATTAAACAGTTGTCATATTTTTCCTTTTTATAATGTAGTATACTAACTAGAGTTCTAGTTACTTTCAGAATTTTGTAACCAACAGCAACAGTATTTATATTCCTAAGACTTCTCCTTTGGTTGTTTATCACCATATTGCTGGAGATCCCAAGTCATAGCATATTGGTTTATACCCCTATAAACCAATATGTTATAGCAACAAAAACTAAAAATTTAATATATTGTTCTTGCTCTTTATCAACAATACAATAGATGGTACTCCAATTATTCACAATTTGTTCAACTTGTGAAATATTGACTAAATACGGAACATTTAGTTAGGCAATACGAAATTTTTAAACAAGCCAACTCTTTGTATTTACTACTCCTACATACCCTAAAGAAAAATTCGTTATAAACTTTAATGGAAGTTCGAAAGCATCGTTTAAACAAACTTTATGCTTGAAATATCTATTGCCGGTCTCAAGATCAAACAAAGTTTACACCGCGCCCGTGATCAAAGTGATAAGCTGATAAGACAGGGTACAATGGTAAATTCAGGTAGGGATCACTCAACTCTTGATTGAGTCTGCAGTATTTGCGAGTTTGGGGTACCATTATCTGCTTTTGAAGAGAATTAATAGAATTTGCCAAGTCTCGTGTCATGTTATTTGAAGTCCTAATATGCACACATAGTAGGTACCCGTACTACCACCTAGAATTCTAGAATGAGATATTACATATACATTAAACCTAATATGTAAAAAAGTTATATTGCCAGAATATTTAACAAAATTAACATTATTTAACTTTATTACCATCGTCTGTCGTTTGGCCACGACAATCTTTGTATCTGTAGATTATAACTGATTATTAAATTTTAAATGTAGGGACTTGGATCTTACTTAAGTTTTTCAGCTAATTTCCCAGTTTGAATGTGTGAAGCTGACGAGGTTCAGTTTTCATTTTAGGCTAATGGTGAGATAAGTAAAATGTTGAAAATTAAATATTTATTTTTATTTATACGTATATATAGTACTTTTAACTGCTACTGCATTCGTTTTTGGTGTGAGAATTTACAATAACCAATTTTTGCAATTAAACAAGTAAAAAGAAACATGATGATCCTATAAGTTTAATTGAACAGATTATTGTCAATAATAATAGAGACCCTATGCAATGTGCACGGCCTTAGACGTGTTAGAAATTGGTTGACACTATTGTAGTTTAGAAAAGATAGTACAAGATATATTATTATAATCTAGGAATGTTGTACGTAAACATATATTTGTACAATCGTTGAATTGGCTACTAAAATCTACAAAGTTATGGTTAACATATAGGTACTAGGTATTCATAAGGACATCAGCTGGCTATATAATGTCTATGTAGTCATGACTTTTGACGATAATCATATTGTGATTAAGTGAGAAAATCCCTGAGCAAAATTGAATGCGTACAAATCAATTGCGGACGTGAAGGTTGAATCACGTCCCACCCAGCCCCTACCTGAGGATGTTCAATTATTCGCTGTCAAAACGCACGTGACGCACCTACTTACCTGCTACGTGGTTATTATCGGTGTAATTTGTAAATATTAAGGCGAATATGTCGCACCTGTCTGTCGTGTTATGGATGAAAATTGGCTTAACAAAACATATAATATATGTCAGATTTCTTCTTCTGATAGATGATTTCTTAGTAGGAGTAAATGTTTGTTTTCTTTATTTAATCATATAACCATAAATAAACTGTAAATATTAAAGTTCCAAAGTAAAAATCTATACTTATATCATAAAACTTAAGATGTTTGAAACTTTGTTTTTTGTTTGAAAGTGCTAATTTCAGGTACCTACTATGGTTCTGATTGAAAACATATTTTTGTGTTGGTTATCGGACCATTAATCGAGGAAGACTTAAGACAGTAAAATATCTAGGATGCGATCACTAGAAGCAGAGACAGTGGGAAATGTGAAAAAAGGGGTATATTATTCACCTTTGAGGAATTCCATTGCGTGCGTTGCAAAAATAGTCGAATACTGTAAATAATATAAGATATATAAAAAAATAATTCCTATTTAAATACTCTAAAAAAAAACGCGACAGTATATGTGTATCTTTTAAGATTAACGTGCAAGAACGACGTAACGTGAGAACACGTGAACGTTGTGGGTAACAGCTATCCTACTACTATTATAAAGGCGAAAGTTTTTAAGTTTGGGGGTTTGGGGGTTTGGGGGTTTGGGGTTTTGGGGTTTTTTTTCCCCCCCCCCCAAAAACCCCCCGGATGGGTTTGAAACAACCCCCCCCCCCACCTTCCCTACCCCCCAAAAAAACATTTAGGCCCCATTTTTTGGGGTTTTTTTTGCGGGGCCCAAAAAAAACCCTTTTTTCCCCCCCCCTCCCAACCCCCCCCGCCCCCCCCCAAAAAAAAAAAAACAAATTTCCCCCCTTTTTTTCCCCAACATCCCCCCCCCCCCCCCCCGCCGGGGGGGTTTTTTTTTTCCCCCCCCCCCCCCCCCCCCCCCCCCCTTTTTTCCCCTTTCCTTCCTTCCCGAAATAATCCCCCTCTCCCCCCCCCTCTTTTACCCCCCCCCCCTCCCCCCCCCCCCCCCCCCCTTTCTTCCTTCCTTTCTTTTTTTTTATATATACATTTTTTTTCCCCCCTTTTTTTTTTTTTATTTTTTTTTTTTTTCCCCCAAATCCAAAATTAAAAGCCCGCGGCCCCCCCCCGCCGCCCCCGGGGGGGGGGGGGGGGGGGGGGGGGGGGGGGGGGGGGGGGGGGGGGGGGGGGGGGGGGGGGGGGGGGGGCCGGGGGGGGGCCCCCCCCCCCCCGGGGGGGGGGGGGGGGGGGGGGGGGGGGGGGGGGGGGGGGGGTTTTTTTTTTTTTTTTCCCCCCCCCCCCCTTTTTCACCCCCCCCCCCCCCCCCCCCTTTTTCTTTTTTTCCCTTTTCCTTTTGCCGGTTTTTTTTTTTTT